TTGGGTGGTGTGGATGCACAGATAAATAAGCACGGTAAATGCCCTAAAGAAACTTGCTGTTCGGGAATGAGTGATAAACATATAGTCAAATAAATTAGAGGCCAGTGATACACAAAGGATAAGAGTTAATTGCTGTAATGAAGAGCAGTGAAGGATAGGAAGACTTCCTTGAGGTGACAGCTGATTTGGGTTGAAAAGCTAACAAGGATTCAACAGACTGAGGAATTTCAGTCGATGGAAACAGCATGTGCAAAAGCAAGGAGGTGAGTTCAGGAAGTTAAAATCGGTTCAGTTTTATAGGAGAACAAAGCTCAGCCAGGGCGATGCAGGAAGTAAGCCAGGAAAGGCACAGAACCAGATCCTGCAGGCCCTGGGGCACCATGGTCTGGGGAGCAGTCATGTGCCAAAAAACACTTTAAACATAGCTCAGAGCCAGATTTACATTTTATAAAGATTTTGCAGCAGAGGTTTGAAGGGGAGAGAGGCTAGGGACAGAGACCAATTGGGAGTTTATTGCAACAGCACAGGTGAGAGAAAAATAAGGTGTGGGAAGCCACCTATTGTCTTCACTAGCAGAGAGGTGTGGACAAGGAACCCGGAAGGCTGGTGACCCTTGAAGCCCTGGCAAAGGTCAGGGCTGTGCACCCACTGTTAGTCCAGACAATGGTAGCTGAAGCAAATTCCCCATTTATTATTATGTAAATCCTTGCTAAAGGGCAAGTCTGCCTGTTACTGGAAATTGCCTACCTAAGGGCTATTGGTGTATCCCAAACCAATAAAAGGTTGGTGAGGCCTGAGCACCAGTGGAAGTCCTTCCCCTTGAGTTGGACTTGCCCGCCTGGCCCTCCAATATTTCCAAATTATTATTTCTTGTCTTGTCTCTTTCATTTGTGTGTGGCTCCTCTTCCAGATCCTGAACCCTGAACCACGCGGGACGTGGGGGGAAACAAATACATATAAATTTACACAATAAGGGTCTGAACAAACAAAAACAATTATAACTACAACTATACTGAAAAAATGTGGGGTTTTTTTGTATATTGCCATCTAGTATTTCTCCTTTTGCCCTTCTCCCCATGCTACGTTCAAGCAGCTAGGCAGCCTAGGTTCATAGTCTCAGGGGAGAAATGTGAAGGGGGAAAAACAGAAACTATCCAAACCTTCAGAGAAACAGAGGAGACTCAGGGCTGAGACAAAACCGTTTGGGAGATGTGGGATTTGAAGAGAGTGAGTATTCTCTGAGACCAGAAGGGATTCCCCCTTGCCCTCCACCACCAGCACCAGGGGGGAAGTAGGGAGAATCTAGATGTTGGTGACTCCTGGTGATAGAAATCCCACTCCCTGCTTCCTGGGAAGGACTGGAGGAGCACAAGACCCTGAGAAGGAACAGTTGCATAACCAGCCGGGCAGCTATGCCTTCAGACTGTTGTGCAGAAATTACCCAACCCAGCCAGAAAGGAAGTACCTAGAAGACTTGCTCCCTCTTCTGGTTGTGATGAGGTCCCTGAGTCTGAAAGGCCAGGTAGATGAGAAGAAAGATGTCAGTGGAGAGCAAATAGGTGGCCAAAGACCAGATGGGCCTCCTCTCTTAAGTCTTAGCACCCATACTTCCCCTAACTTGGACTCTACCTTGGGAGAGAGGAGGAGACAAACCAAACTGACTCACATTGTTTCCACCACCCCAGTGGAAGCTTGAAACAGGAACTAAGTAGAGATGTAGTCTCAAATACCAGAGTTATAGACCATCACATTAATGTGTATTGAGTGCTTATTATATGTTGGTACTCTATTTAGCACCATCTTATAAGTACCATCTTATAAGATCTTCACAGTATACATGAGGAAACTCAGGCTTAGAACTGTCACACAGTTAAAAACTGGTAGAGCCAAGATTCAAACTCAGTCCAACACTAAGCTTTTATTTTTCAAACTCATTTTTTTATTGATTGATTATTACTATTTTTTTATTGATTGAATTTTTAAAGAGAGAAACAGTGATTTGTTGTTCCACTTATTTATGCATTCATTGGTTGATTCTTGTATGTGCCCTGACTGGGGATCAAACTCACAACCTTGGCATATTGGGATGATGCTCTAATGAACGAGCTACCCAGCCACAGCCTCTACGCTTGAGTTCCTAATCACTATATACTATACCACTTTCAAGGCTATGGCTATGAGACTGCAGAGGAGAGGGTACACTGGAGAGAGGTTTCAGAAGTAGAACCAATAGGATTGAGAGCTAGAGGAGAGGGGGGACTCATGGGTTTCTACCAGGTTTCCAGCTTAGAGACCAGGAGCATAGAATGGGTAGATTTGAGGAACTAGGAATTTTGTTTGGACAAACTAAATTGAGAGGTATACAATTAAAAATTATTAGCTTGTCAGTGATGTTAAAATCAGAGGGGTGAATAAAAAGTTTGTGGAAGAGTAGATAAAGGGAGAAAAGAGCAAAGGGCAGAGTGTTGGGGAACACTGGCATTTAAGAGGTGGACAGAGAGCCCAGAAAAGGAGACAGAGAAGTTGGCAGAGCAGGAGAAAGAGAGTCAGGGACACAGAAGCCAAGTAAGGAGAGAGCTGCAAAGATATGTCAGATACAGCAGGAAATCAAACAAGAAAATGATTCCAGAAAATAATCACCAATCACTCAGAGGTCTTGAGAACCTTGGTGAGAGCAGTTTTGGTCTCTGTCCCCTTCCCAGATCATCCTCTCTCCTTAAGGGAAGCCTGTGGAGGCAACCACAGACTGAGCTGCACATTTGGTTCTGGCCAGGCTGTCATAGTTCTAAGGCCCAGCCCTGGGGCAGAAGCTGGAGGCAGCTGGGAGAGCCTGCCTCTGGCATGGCACAGCAGGCACTCAGCAAAGGCTGACAGACAAATCAGGTGAGCCCAACAATGTCCTTATAACTTTGTTTCTGGCAAAGTCCTAACTACTTAAAAGAGGCCTTTCCCCAAGAAAAATGCGGACATTTGCTTTCTGATGCCGGCACCCTTGGTGAATTAGGGTAGTCGGTTCCCATTGTCCTGGGACCTGCTGTCCTCGCATTAAGCAGAACTTGGAGGTTTCAGATCAGTGGAGCTGGGGAAAGGAGTCCTTGGCTAATTAGCCCAAAGTTAGAAAACCTGAGGTCTAATCCCAGCTGCATGACTGCTTTGTGACCTCAGTCAAGTCACACCTGCTCTCGGAGCCTGGGCCCCTCCTCTGAAATGAGGGTATGGATAGATGATCTTTGAAGTTGTAACTAGTAACAAGCCCATGATGCTTTGATTCATTGCCTCAAGTGAGAGACTTGAGGGTGTCTCTGCAGGTGGGCAGGAGGGGCAATGAAATTCAAGTTTCTGTGCCCAAACACCAGCACGGTTCAGCACTAAGATAGGGCACCTCAGCTGTCAATCAAAGAATTCCCTAGGAGTGGAGGGCGGTACCTGGTTGTCGGGTAACTCGAGGAAGCTCTGAGCAAGGAGCTAGGAGGGGATGTAACCCAAGCCAGAGGGACCATTCCAGAAAGCCAGCTTCGGAGAAGATCTAAAGAGGTAAGGCGTCCTATGGCTGGGACCCCAAAACCTGGTGAGCGTAGCCAGGAATGCCTTAGGGATGAAGGCCTTGAAGAGGCAGATTTCTTAGGTGTTCTTAGGAGCAGGAGAAATTTCTTTTAAAAGAGGTAGAATAGAGAGACAGAATCCTCATTCCTGGAAGTCGGCTCCTTGCCAATTCAATAGCCTCTTCTGCTTTGTGACCCCAGTGCCTATTATGGCTCCTGGCACAGAGCAGGGGGTCACTGAATATTCATTGAACTGACTTGAGATTAGACAGCAGGAACACCTAGATTGTGAGTGGATGGGTGTGTGTGGAGGCACAGGATGAAAAGAGATGATGGAGGAGAGGTCCTGTGTATATTCAGTTCATTCGTCCATTCATTTATTCATTCACTAAACATTCTTATTATAGTAAAATATGTATAACATAAAATATATAGTTTTTAACCATTATAAGTGGCATTAAGTATACTCATATTGTGCAACCATCAGACCATTCATCTCCATAACCTTTTTATTTCATGTGATAAATATTTACTGAGAATCTATTATGTGCCAGGCCCTTCAAGTTGCTCCAAATCTAATAAGAGAGACAGACAAGGAAGTTAACTCTAAGCCAGTGTGATAAATGCCACAAAAGGCATAAGGTGCTATGGGAGTGTATTAGTAGAAGGACCCAGTTGGTGGAGGGAAGGGGACTTTCTGAAGGAAGCTATTACTTGAACTGAGTCTGGAAGGAGGACTAAGAATTTGTTAGGACATTAGAGAGAGTTGATATCGTGCCCATGGGAGAGATGAAACAAGGTGAGATGGCAGAGAGAAATTCTTAAAACTCTGAGGTTCACACCAGGGTGGGGGTAGAGCTGAATTGCCCTGGAGCAGTGATTTTGTGTGCTGTGTCACACGGGTGTGCCACAAGGATTTTTAGAGCACTGATCTCTTTTCCCTTAGATTGTCAAATACAACGTGACAGCAGCCAATTCAACCATAGCCATCCGGTGTGAATGAATCGAAATTATACTTATTTTTTGTCAGATTGACGAAAATATGTTTTTTGGTGTGCTGCAGAATTTAAAAATTTTTTTAAAATGTCATGTTTTTATTATTTTAAATATATTTTTAATTAATTTCAGAGAGGAAGGGAGAGGGAAAAAGAGAAACATCAATGATGAGAGGGAATCATTGATTGGCTGCCTCCTGCAGGTCCCCTACTGGGGATCAAGCCAACAACCCAGGCATATGCCCTTGACTGGAATCGAACCCGGGACCCTCCAGTCTGCAGGCCAACGCTCTATCCACTGAGCCAAACCGGCTAGGGCATGCTGCAGAATTTTAGTAATCATATGTTTAGTTTACATGTGCCATGAAATGAAAAAGGTTGAAAATCGCTGCCCTGGAGGGATCCTGCTTTGGAGGAAGCGCAGGCTGACATGTTGAACCCTGTGCTTTCCATTGTCAGTACGATGTCTTCCCCCAACCCTGAGGGTACCCCACAAGAGCCTGAGACTGAGCCCTCCAGCTCCAAGGAGAAAAAGAAGAAAAGCAAGTGTCAGCAGCATGAGGCCAGCATCCAAGTCCTCACCAGGGCTGGCCACAGGGCCCTACTGGCTCGCCAGAACCAGGAGGCCTTGACCAGCTTCCAGAGGGCCTTCCTCCTGGCCTCCAAGGCCTCCCGGGAAAGGGACACTCCTATTCTCCGAGCCTGTGCCTTCAACCTGGGGGCTGCCTACGTGGAGACCGGGGACCCAGCCAGAGGCCTGGAGCTGCTCCTAAGGGCCCAACCTGAAGAGAAGGCACAGGGCAGGTGTCATGGTGACCAGTGTTTCAATGTGGCTTTGGCCTACCAAGCCCTGGGCAACCTGCCTCAAGCTGTGGCCTGGTACCACAGGGCCCTGGGCCACTATCAGCCACTGGGTGACCAGGGGCAGGCCCAGGCAAAAATGGGAGCCTGCTACCAGGCTCTGGGACAGCCTGAGCTAGCAGCCCAGTGCTTGCAGGAAGCGAGCCAGGCCTATGCCCAAGCAGGGCAGCCCCGGGCCGCAGCCCTGGCGTTGGGGGCTGCGGCGGGGTGTATGCTGAAGAGCGGGCAGCACGGCGTGGGTGAAGTGGTGCAGGTGCTGGAGGAGAGCTGGCGGCTGGCGGAGATGAGCACTGAGCGGCGACTGCTTGGTGAGGCCTTTGGTCAGAGAAGTGTGGGCTCTGACCTGGCGACACTCTGAGAGGTGGGGTGGAAGCAGGGGCATGTCTGTGGCTGGGGAAGGGGATGGTGGGACCCTTTGAGCGCAGGACAGGGACTACAGCAGTATAGCCATCTGACCTGGCTACCAGTGACCCCGGCCTTGCCTTCTAGGGCAGCTCTATAATGACCTGGGCCTGGGCTACTCCCAGCTCCAGCTGTTCCCACTAGCAGTAGAGGCCTTCCTGCAGGCCTTGCCCTTGTGCCGGGGGCCAGGAGAGGAGGCCACGGTGCTGAGAAACCTTGGGATGGCCCACAATGCCCTTGGCAACTACCAGGAAGCCCGGGGGTTTCACCAGAAAGCTGCTGACCTGCATGGTGAGTACCAGGGGCTGAGGAATGGATTGAGACTAAGGGACTAAGAGGGGGTTCCAGCAGGGGCCCAAAGGCTGAAGAATGAATGGACCTTTAGGACTCGTTATAGGTCAGGAAGCCCAGAAGCAGGGGGCTGGAGATGCAGGAGATGGGATAGCGGAGAGGACAGAGGGTTGTGGGCCCAAAGGCTGAGGCCTAGGAAAGGGAAGGCAGCAATGGGCAGAAGGAAGAGCTATCAGTACCTGCCTTGCCTGCCTCACAAGATCATTGCGTGGCTCAGAGTCCCCAGGGAGAGGCATTCAGGCCAAAACTCGGGACGGAGGAGCAGCTGAATGTGGTACTGAAAGTCTGGGCCTTGAGGCACATCTGAAGGTGTGTTGGGGCTGAGCACTGGCATTCCTGCAAACCCTGTTCTGGTTGTTGGGGGGTGGGGTCCTGATACCCCAGCGGCCAAGGTCCCTCTTAGAATTGTGTGGGCTCTGTCATCAGGTTCTGTGGGGCAGCGGTGGGAGCAAGGCCGGAGCTTTGGCAGCCTGGCATTTGCACTGAGCCAGCTGGGGGACCACAAGGCCGCCAGAGACAACTACCTCCATGCTCTGCAGGCTGCCCAGGACACTGGTGAGGGTGAGGGGGTTCGTGCATGGCTTGGGGGTGCTGGAGCAAAGGCTGAGAGTCCTTGGGGCTGGTGGGGAGGCAGATTGGGAGTTGGGGGTGGGGAGTGCCTCTGGGGGGAGGGTTGGGGAGGTAGGAGCCATAAAAGGACCTCTCAGGCTCTCTTCCCCAGGGGACGTGAAGGGGCAGTGGCAGGCCTGCGAGGGTCTGGGGGCTGCTGCAGCCAGACTGGGGCAGCATGACCAGGCCTTGAAGTACTACAAGGAGGCGCTGGCCCAGTGTCAGGTGAGACCTCCCATCCCAGAATCTCACTCTTCCTGTTGGCCTTCTCCGGCTAACAGTCCTGCCTCATGTCTTGTCTTCTCTGCATCATTCATTCACTCATCGAACATGCACTGGGCACATGTGTGCTAAGTCCTGGGACACTACTGTGAGGAAGAATTTGTCTCTGTCCACAGTTCTGGGCAGGACCCTGGCAAAGGCATGGGGGTGGGGCAAAAGAGAAGGAAGACAAAACCCCCTTTCTTTCTCCCTTTCCTGTTTCTTTCTTCCCCAAATCCCAGAGAACCACAAAGCCCAGGCCCTCCCCCATCACTGCATTATCCTCCCTCTCCCCAGAAGGAGCCGGATTCTGTGCGAGAACGGCTGGTGGCCAAGCTGGCGGACGCCATGAGGACCCACTTGGCTCAGGGTGGGCCGGACCCAACTCACACCCCGGTGAGCTGACACCCGAGACAAGGAGCTGGGGGCGGGGAGAGGTTGCCTGGAGGAGGAAGAGGTAAGGTAAGCAGAGCTGATGTTCTCAGGGATGCCGTGCCTGACGGCTCTTCTGTGTTCGCGTGCCCTGGGCCAGCATCAGGTACAGGTATCACTTTCCCGGGGCCGCCTGGGGGTGGGAGGTGGGCGGGGGATTGTGGCCTGTGTCCAACACTAGGGCTGTGCCAGGGCCTTAGCTGAGTGGTGAGGAGCTCAGTGCAGTCAGGGACCCTGAGCCACACCAAGGAGGAGGTGGTGTTTTAAGTTTTCGGCTGCAGTTCTCAAAAGGGCCACAGGATGGGGGCAGTGCTCCAAGGAAGTCCCTCTCTCCCATGGCTGGTTCTCTGGGGCCGTTTCTCCGGGACCTCCACCATGCTCCTCCTCTGGCTCTCCACCTCTCAGCCTCTTCAAGTGCCTGCTCCCCCACCCTCTGAGATGCCCTCAGGAAACCTCCCATCACAGAAATTGAAATTACACTTTAGTATTTATTATTTATTTAATAGGTTTTATGTCTTCTCTCTCTTTTTTCTTTTGTTAATCCTCACCCAAGGACAGTTTTTCCATTGATTTTTAGAAAGCAGAAGAGAGAGGGGGGTAGAGAGAGAAAGAAAAAGATCAATATGAGAGAGACACATTAATTGGTTGCCTCCCACAACACCCCGACTGACTAGGCGGAGACTGAACCTGCAACCCAGGCACATGCCCTTGACTAGAACTCGAACCTGCAATCCTTCATTACGTGGGCCAATGCTCCAACCACTGAGCAACACCAGCCAGGGCATGTCTTCTCTTATTTTAAAGACTGGGACACCCTATTTGTAATTTTCAAGCAATATTGAATTAGCCTGCCCAGCCAGAATGGCTCAGTTTGCTTGAGCATCGTCCTGTGCACCGAAAGGTTGCCAGTTCCATTTCTGGGTTGCGAGGTGGGGCACATACGGAAGGCAATCAATTATCATTTCTCACATTGATGTTTCTCTCTCTTTCTCCCTTCCTCTCTCTAAGCACATCCTCAGGTGAGGAATAAAATGAATTAAATCAGCCTGGTACAGAAAGAGGACTGAATTGGGAGTCAAAGGACCTGGGGTTCCACCCAAAATGGGCCACCAGCTTTCTGTGACTTCGCTTTTGGAGGCCTCAAGCAGGACGGGGTGGTGGTCAGGCCCTGGCCACATCTGACAGTCCATGAGCCTGAGCTCTAACATGATAGTTCCTAGTGGGGACCTTGACCGAAGACAAGGCCTCACCCTGAAACTGTATTCTCAGGCCTGTGGCGTAGCCAGTTTGCTCTGGCGCTTCTCTGTCTCTGGGGCTAGGTCTCTGGAGGGAACATGCGCTCACGTGCACATCCACAGCCATTTTTCTGAAATGATTCCCTTTACTCCCCTTCGTTCCCAGATCTCAGCCCCATGGAAGCCTCAGCCTCCAGGTGGGGCCGGCCCCGCAGGGACTCCAGCCAGACTGGGAAGAAGCCCCGGAGAAGCAAAGCACAGGTGAGCGGGGTGGGGCGGAGCTTCTGGGGTGATGTGGCTTCTGGAGGGTGTTGGGAGGTGTTGCAGCAGTGCTGTGGGGGCTGGGGGCCTCATAGGCACCCCAGGAAGGAGGGCACCTGATTGGGTGCCCCTTGGCCCCTGTTACCTGACCCTATAGAGCAGTGGTTCTCAACCTTCTGGCCCTTTAAATACAGTTCCTCATGTTGTGACCCAACCATAACATTATTTTCGTTGCTACTTCATAACTGTAATGTTGCTACTGTGATGAATCGTAATGTAAATATCTGATATGCAGGATGGTCTTAGGCGACCCCTGTGAAAGGGTCGTTCGACCGCCAAAGGGGTCGCGACCCACAGTTGAGAACCGCTGCTATAAGAGTATAGTATAGTATAGTATAGGGGCAGTGCTCCACGTAAGGTTTTATGTCTTTTCTCTCTTTTTCTTTTTTCATTTGTTAATCCTCACCCAAGGACAGTTTTTCCATTGATTTTTAGAGAGCAGAAGAGAAGGAGGTGGGGAGAGAGAGAAAGAGAAAGATCAATATGAGAGAGACACATTAATTGGTTGCCTCCCACCACACCCAGACTGACTAGGCGGAGACTGAACCTGCAACCCAGGCACATGCCCTTGACCAGAACTCGGACTAGTATAGACCTTTGGGTGGGCGGAAAGACAAAGAGTTGGAGGAGGGCCACGAGGAGAAAGAGGAAGAGGCTTCATGAAAGTTCCCTGCGACAGGGTTGGCTTGGGCAGGGACTGGAGTGGGAGTAGGTGTAGGCTGTCCCGGCTGAGGGGAGCACTCTCCCCACTCCCTTCTTTCCTCCCACCCCAGGCCTAACACCCAGAACCAGCCCTACCCCCATTTTTGCTCCTCTCTCAAGACCCTGGCCCATTTTCCCGACTCTTTCTGGATCACCTCTTCCTCCTTGCTTCCACAGCCTTCCTAACTTCTAGATCTGCATCTCAGAGCACCAGGGTTTGTTGGAGGCCTACTAGGCGACAGGTAACTGGTGCTTTTCTTACCCTACCTTGCTGTTTACTAGTCTCTTCCCTCAAAGGCTTCCAAATCCAGCAGCAGAGTTCCTTGCTATTTGCTGACTTGAATTCACTGACATCTTTTCAGTGTGTTTCCTTCCAGGCACTGCAAGCCATCCCCATGCCTAGCCACTAGACAGCCCAGGCTCGTCAATCTCGCCTGCCCCAAACCATAGTCCTTGGTGTACGTACCTACAGTGACCAACACACTTCCTCACACCTCCCTCCTTGTTCTCCCAAAGTCTCTCTTCCACCAGGATGGTTCTGGACCTAGGGCCCATCTCTCATTTGGAGACCATTCCCCCCGCCCTCAGAATGGAGTGCTCTGGCATCCTGGTACCCAGTGGCCCCCAAGCCAATGAGTGGGTCCCTGGGGGAGGGAAGGAGACCTGGAGAATGGATAAAGGGAGGAGAGGATGTGACTTTGGACAATTTTAATGGGACATTATTGCTGTTAAAGTTGGGGGAAGGTATGGACTGGTACTTGGGAATATATAGTGCTCTGAGCCTCTTTGTCTTTGCTCCTTAGTAATCTGAACGACTTTTACCCAGCTCAGGAGGCCTGGCCGGTCCCCTGCCTCCTGCACGGCCTGACTGTAGACCTCAAAGAAAGGAAGAGCCCCGCTGAACGTGGGGATATGCAGCTTACATCTCCTCCCTACTGCTCTGCAGCCCACCGGCAGAGGTAAGGGCTAGAGAGGGCAGCAGAAGCTGGAGTCAGAGCAGGCTGCCTCTGCTCTTTCCATAGCCACTCCCACTGGCAAGCTCTGCCCTGCCTCCTTCAGGTCATTCAAACAGCCCAGGGAGACCTCCAGCAGGAACCCACCAAGGAGACCCACCACATCTGGCTTCTGCATGATCATGTGACCCCACCCTACTGGCCTCAGCGGTACCTCCCCAACATACACACTTGAGGGTTTCTGGGACCAAGACCCTTCCCAGTTGTTCAGTGCTGTATAGACACGGATTACAACACAGACAGCACGTGGGCTCCTGAGCAGGCTGAGCAAGGGCTTTGCAGTCTCAGCACTGAGGCTGCTCGCTCCTTGCTGGGAGTTTTGGACTCAACAGGCAAAAGCGAAAAGGGAAATGGATGGTGAATCTCCCCCTGTTCCTTCTGGATCCAAACCTCATGATCACTTAGGCCAGTGGTTCTCAACCTTCCTCATGCCGCGACCCTTTAATACAGTTCCTCATGTTGTGGTGACCCCCAACCATAAAATTATTTTCGTTGCTACTTCATAACTGTAATTTTGCTACTGTTATGCATCGTCATGTAAATATCTGATATGCAGGATGTATTTAGGCGACCCCTGTGAAAGGGTCGTTCGACCGCCAAAGGGGTCGCGACCCACAGGTTGAGAACCGCTGACTTAGGCCCTTTCCAGTTCTAAAAACTATAACTTCTTGACCAAGAGGCTTTGAAGTCAATGACTCTCCAGACCTCCATTTTATCATATGGGAAATGGGGTTATAATACTAGAGAAGGTACAGCTGAACCAACCGATGCACTCCACTTCCTCCATGAAACATAGCAGGGGCTGGATGCAGGCCCGAGGCCGGTAGCCTGTGGCACAACTGCTGCCAGTAGCCACAACACTGATATTCAATATGGGTTTTTAGTCACTTAGCACATGCCACACATTGTTCTAAGTGCTTCACAAGTATGTTCTCCTTTAATCACAGCAGGCGAATCCCCTTTCACAGTGAGGAATAGAGAGCAAAAAAATCTAAGTTGTTTGTCTTCCCAGTCACGCTAGTAAGTGGAGAAGCCGTGATTCTAACCTAGGTAGTAAGTCCCTTCTTCTGTAATGCTGGGCAGTTCCACGCCCGGTTAAGCCATTGTTTACTTGACAACAAATGCATTTATGCTGGTTGTATGTGTTATTGTAATTTAATTAAATATTATATAAATTGCTGAGCCAAGAGTATGATTAGGAATCGAATCTGCATCCTCTCAGTGCATGGGACGACGGGGTTAGATGCCCAGTAGGGGACGTGCAGGAGACAGCTAATGATGTTTCTTATAAATGTTTCACCATCCCTCTCCCTTCCTCTCTCTCTCTAAATCAATAAAAACATATTTGTAGAGGACCTACTACGTGCTAGGCACAGAAGTAGGTGCTGGGGACACATCTGTTAATCTTCCTTATGTAAATGGAGTATATTATTTTGTCTTGATTAGGATGCAGTTTTACCAATTATATAACAAAAGCCAACATAACAGTGCCTTTATCCAGAGAGAACTCTATTCCTGTCTCATATAAGTAGCCCGGGGGCGGGGGGGGGTGCGGGAGGCTGCTGATTGATGCTTCTCTCTCATTGATGTTTCTGGCTTTCTATCCCTCTCCCTTCCTCTCTGTAAAAAATCAATAAAATATATATTTTAAAAAAAAGAACACTAGCTTAATTTACTGAGTCCTGAGTACCCGCTCCTGCCGACGCTCTGCATGCATTTTCCCTATGAGATGCATGTACCTTCCTCCATTTTACAGACAGGACACGGAAACTTGGAGTATCCACATTCCCCCCGTTAGTTAGCAGCAGGGCAGGAACCCGGGCTCACAGCTCCGCTCAACTTGAAGAACTGGGCGCGCGGCAGAGCGAGCGGAGCCTGAGGGCGCTTCCGGCGCCTGGTCCCGCCCCGGCCTCTCGGGGGCGGGGCATAGCGCTGCGCATGCGCCAGGGCGGCGGGCAGGGCCGAGGGCGCGCCCCCCGCGAGCCGCATGTCCCGGCTGTGGTCGCTGTTCGGGTTTGGGCTGCTGGTGGCGGGATCGCGCCTGCCGCGCGTCCGGTCCCAGGCCAGCGCCTGTCGAGTGAGCCCCACCTGGTGGGGGCCGCAGCGGCTGAGCTCGGGCGGCCGCGGGGACCCGGAGGTCATGGCGAGCGCGCAAGTGAAGCTCTTGAGGTAGGCGGGGCTCCGGCCGGGCGCCCCCTACAGTGCGGGGCTCGGGGCGCTGTGCCGCCCGCGGGGCCGAGCCCCTGAGCAGAGGGTTTGCTCAGCCAGGAGGAGGCGCAGGCCGTGGACGAGGAGCTGTTCAAGGAGTACCAGTTCAGCGTGGACCAACTCATGGAGCTGGCGGGGCTGAGCTGTGCGACAGCCATTGCCAAGGTCAGCGGTGCCACGCTTCACCGGGCCCCCGGGCCTGGACCCGGTGGAGTGGGCGGGACAGTGGGGGCAAGCTTGGGCTGTTGGGCCCCAAGCCACTCGGAATCCCCGCTGGTTCTGCCTTCAGGCGTATCCCCCCACGTCCCTGTCCAGGAGCCCCCCCACTGTCCTGGTCATCTGTGGCCCTGGGAACAACGGAGGTGATGGCCTGGTCTGTGCTCGGCACCTCAAACTCTTCGTGAGTATGCGGAGGGCTGTGGGAGGCTGCCAGGTCGCTAGGATCTGAACGTGAATTACCCCTTTCCTTTCCTCGCAGGGCTACCAGCCAACCATCTATTACCCCAAAAGGCCGAACAAGCCACTCTTCACTGCCCTGGTGACCCAGTGTCAGAAAATGGACATCCCTTTCCTTGAGGAAATGCCCCCAGAGGTAGGTGGCTCCCGTTCACTGCTCTCCCCATAGTAACCATTGTATTCTGCTCTTCCCTCAGGTTTCCAGGCTGAGCTCATCTGCTTATCTGCCTCTAGAGCAGTGGTTCTCAACCTTCCTAATGCCGCGACCCTTTAATACAGTTCCTCATGTTGTGGTGACCCCCAACCATAAAATTATTTTCGTTGCTACTTCATGACTGTAATGTTGCTACTGTTATGAATCGTCATGTAAATATCTGATATGCAGGAGGTATTTTCATTGTTACAAATTGAACATAATTAAAGCATAGTGATTAATCACAAAAACAATATGTAATTATATATGTGTTTCCCGATGGTCTTAGGCCACCCCTGTGAAAGGGTCGTTCGACCCCCGAAGGGGTCGAGACCCACAGGTTGAGAACCACTGCTCTAGATGTTAAACTCTTGAAGGGTAGGAATAGTGCCTGGCACTTCCCCTGGTCACTCCTTTCACTCTGTAGTCATTCCTCTTCCCCTAGGATGCAGTGAACACATTATCCTAGGAGCCGAAGTCAGTGCCTAAACCCTTTCTGCAGATGCATGGATTTAGGGGGTGGGAAACTTGAGAGCTTGATGGGCTTTTATTTTATTTTAATATATTTTATTGAGAGGGAGGGAGAGGGAAAGAGAGTTAGAAACATCGATGAGAGAGAAACATCGACCAACTGCCTCCTGCACACCCCCCACTGGGGATGTGCCCGCAACCAAGGTACATGCCCTTGACCGGAATCAAACCTGGGACCCTTGAGTCCACAGGCCGACGCTCTATCCACTGAGCCAAACCGGTTAGGGCAACTTGATGGGCTTTTAAAAAATTTAACACATTTTATAGATGTAAGCGGTTTGTCCAAAGTAACAGACCAGACCATGGCAAAGCCGAGACCAGAACCTGGCCCTTCTGACTCCCAGTCTCAGGCTCTCCGATACTGTAGCCGCCCCAATGGCAGGCAGGCAGAACTCAATGTCTGGACTCAGCTTGACCTGAATCAGGGACCCACTTGCACTGAACTCTGTCTAAGAATATCATCTGAATGAGACAAAATTGTATTTGTGCCTCTGTGGGTACAGAGGACAGCCTCTCCTATTAAGAGCTCTTTGTACAGCTGCTGGCTCTGACATCCTTGA